GTGCTATAAATACCCCCTACCCCCTCACTCTCAAGTCATGACCACAAAGGAGGAGCTACACATTCCACATATGCGATCTTCTTGTAAGTAAACATCTAAGATTCTTTATGGTAATTGATATCTGATTCTGGTAAGTGATATATAACTTGTTCTCATTAGTATGCCATTTTGCTTTGTTAGAGTGCTCTAACTTCGCTAAGAGAACTTAGTGGATCAGGGTTAGAGTAGTGAGATATAGTGTAGACATGGTGTCTAGGCTACATCTGGCCTGTGTATGCTATTTATCGCATGGATTGTTCATGGATGCTAGTAGGTGGCGACAACCTTATCTAGTCTTTGTATTCCACCACATGTTTTAAGGCAAGTTATTAAAATAGTAGAGCTCCCGTAACAAGTTAGTTGCTTTGGGCAAGGGTTTTGTTCTCTTGTTTCGTCTTTCGCCCCAATAAGGGTGAGGTTACCGCTTGTATATCTATGTTACTTACCATATATCATAACCATAATAAATATCCTCTCTGCCCAACTATCATTAATCCCTTGTGTCATCATAGGACAAACATGAATCTTTGTTAGTGCACTTCACATTCCCCGTAGAAATAGATATCTGGAATACTCCTGGTGAAAGCTACAGTGGCAATCGTGTGCTTGCGGTTTACCCGTTTGCCACCATTGGTATCGATAGCCACTTATAACCGGCTCTTAAAAGTAAATCGCGCTAGTCACAAACAAACAGAGGAAATGAAGCCACTCGCTTGACAACCATTATTTTGGTACTAGATTCTTGAATCATCATCTCTTCCTAGAGTAGAAGATAGAGAAAGATGCTAGATGGTAGCCTATAAATTAAGAAAGAAGCAAGTAAATTATTTCCTAGGTGAAGTTCCTAAAAATCTAGGTAGCGAACCGAGTGAAAAAGGGTTAAGTCCCAGTAAGAAGCAACTGTCCTACTAAACAAATAGCAACAAACAACGTATTCATAGCATAGTTACTAGGACCAGATCGGACATCAAACCGGTGAGGCCATCGGTTCATTGGTTTACTCGTCCAACCGTTAAGAACTGGTTGAACCGCTAGTTGAATTGAATCATCCACAAATATTTCAAACCGGTGAAATATAATAATATACAACAAAATAGTTAGCAATATATAGATGAACAAATATACAAATAAGATGATAAAAAATACAATCATAATGCACCATAGCAAGATAAGTCTTAATTTAACAAATTCCACGAGTTTTGATGCTCTAGAGTTATTTTATAGGACATGCTGAAACTGCACAAGAAAAATATAACATATGGAGCACTTAGAAATTGGTGAAAAATTAAATATTCTGTGTTGTAAAATAATCTCAAGTGTTAAAATAAAGTGAATCATTACAAAAAGCTTGCTGAGATAATCAAATAAATATATTAAATCTAATTCAGAGTGGAGTCCAAAAATATAAAATTATGAACGGAAATGCTTAATTAAGGGCGTGCACGCTTTATCGCTAGCGCCCACACGCCTTCCACCTCTCCCTAGCCCACGACCCGTCCGTCCGCCTGCACACCTCTCCCTCGCCCACTACCCGTCCGTCCTCTCTCTCTCTTTCTCTCTCCGGTGACATCCTCACCGGCATCTGGTGAGCACCTCCCCGACGCCCTCCTCCCCATGCCCGCGCCCCATCGCCTCCCGGTGCCTGTGCCCGCGCCCCACCATCTCCCACGTGCACGTCCATGGCGGATACGGCGGCGGCGGATCCGCTAGATCTGGCGGCGGTGGCGGCAGATCCGCCAGATCTAGCGACGGCGGCGGCGGATCCACCGGATCCAGCGGCAGGTAGGCCTCTCCTCCTCCCCCCTCACTTTTTTCTCTTTCTCTCCTCTCTCTCCTCTAGGGTCTGCTTGCTAGGGTTCCAACGAGCTCTACCTTCTTGTCCCTCAACTCCGATGGACTAAAGAATGGCCGGCCGGGGGGCAGGTAGGCCAGACGGTGGGGATGGTCGATGGGCAGCTTAAGAGAGCTGGCAGCGGCAGGGGCGGTCTAGCCAGGTCTGGGCGAGGGAGGCTCGCCGGAGCTAGAGAAGATGGCGACGGAGGGGAAGAGGGTGGCCGCCGCGGGCGCTAGGGTTCACCGGACCTGCGGGGCGAGGCGGGCCGGCGGCGGGGCGAGGGTGTTGGAGTCGGGGAATAAAAGATCTGGTCTGTTTTTTCCTTTTTTGGCAGCCAAAATAATTTCTTTCTCAGATTGGAGTGTGCAGCCGAAAATTAGATTTCCTGCACGCGCCCGTTCTAGTAAAGTTCAATTTTGAAATGGAAAGTCAAAGGCGCGTGCAACCTCTCCAGCTCTCCATGACTCCATGCACGAAACGCATAACACCAGTGGAAGCAGCATGCCCGGTGGGGTCCACAGTGGCAGGTGCACATTCTCACGCTAGCACCACGGGCACGTGCGCCACACTGCAGCGTTGTAGGCACGAGTGGGGCGGTTCATTTGGAACCGGCCCTTTTCACCGATTTCGTAAAACCCAACTAGTTTAACCGGTTTTTACTATCTGATTGCACGTACGTTCTTTAAAGTGAACCAAACCGCTAGTCTCTGGTTCGGTCTTTTACTGGTCGAACAGTCGGTCCGATCCGGGCCTAATAACTATGATTCATAGGAAAAAAACAATACAACTTCAATGAACATAAAGCCTATTACAAAATTGATCACTTCTATACATAGTGCTAGTTCATCTAGAATCTTTTTGCAACTAACACATCTGGAGAGAATGACTTAAACTTGGCACTTAAATTGCCAACATGTGGCAACCATCACTTGTTGTGTTGCTAGTTCTTTTGGGCAATGTCTATTCAAGGAAGGGAAATAAATGGGATTGTTTCTCTTAGAAAGGATGCAGGACCTAATCCCTTATTGCCTACAAATGTTTTTTGTGCATTTGGAAGGAATTAACACAGTCCCTTCTAGTTCTCGCATTGCAATGCCATAAGATAGAAGAATATTGAAAGTAGAAGGTTGAACAGAAATTAGGTGGTATTACGCATTTCCAAAAATCTGTAAAGTCAATTTTATAAACTTTGTATTGAAAAAAAGCTTGTTCATGAACTATATGGAAACATGGAGGTTTGTTTAGGTTATAGGCCCCTTAGAATAACAATGTGTGCCTAATGTAAGCTCGATTATCAAGCATTTATGTAGGTCTATTTCTTCCTAGTTCCTAAATCTTGAGTCAATCGTACGTGACACTCAATTTGTTCACAATCCTAATAGAACATGCATATATATAACATCCATAATGGAAATCATTATAACTTCTTATCTTTGTTAACTAGATAATGCCCCGCACGTTGCTATGGGGATTTTGTAGCATTATACATGATCACGGGTGGAGAAATGTTCTTTTGTTTCTTCATGATTTTAGCTCGAAATATTAAATATATACATGCAAAATACATGACAAAAGAGGAAGACATCTGTGGGACCCACTGGCGAAAAAAAAACTCCTTCGCCCGATCTCTCTCGTGCATACAATGGGCATCCTTGTCCTCTCGAGAGACTCCTCTTATTGGCTTGGCTTCTCTTGGTCACGGACGAATGCTCAGTGAAGCGCGAGACGGCAGCGACGGCCGGCGTAACTTGCGGGCGGGACGACCAGCGTGAGAGCTGAACGTGCTCCGCGCCTCTGCCATGGCCGCGCCCGCGGCAGGAAGGCCGGCCACATGGCAATATGTATCGTCGGCACCAGCCACACTCGCCACAGGGAGGCCGACCACAAGTCCACAACCAGGTTAGTCTGCGTCCGCAGTGGAGCTCCTTCGTGTGGGCCTCTGCTACGCCGTCGCCGGCTTGGCGGGCGCTTGCGGTGGCCTCGTCGCCTCCGAAGAAGAGGTACCTAAGCGAGCTCTGCCGGCCCTCGTAGTTAACGCCCCGGCTGCAGCCCATCCTACGCCTGCTCGCTGCTCGACTGACTCTCCGATAGCAGGTGAGAGGAAGCTACCTGCAGTGCCACCTTGGGTCGCCGGAGGCAGCCGGAGGCTCCCTGCACGGCTGTGCGTGGGGGCGGGTGCACCGCATCGCGGTCGTCGATCTCGGGGTGTCCGAGGATTGGACGGCAAGGACCCTCGTCGGCGTCGGTGCAGGGTGGGTGGGAGAAGCCTGGCGGAGGCTGAGCAACGCCGTGGGGCACTGGCGAGGAGGGCATGGCCAAGGCAGAGCAGACTTGCTTAAAATCGACTGCAGCAGCCCGTTCGTTTTCTTCTGGATGCGTTACTTTTAGGTGCACTTGTTGTGGTAGAGGAAGGGATGGTGCACGCACAATAATTTCTGTGCCTTGGTTGGACGCCGGATACAACAAAAGAAGATGACGTGGCTTAAGAAGAAAACAGTAAAATAAGCTACTTTGATAGAAGATTTCTATGGAAACCTTATCTTTGATGAAGCGATCAAACTTTTATGAACAAATACAACAAACCTTATCTCTAACGAAGAAATCAAACTTATTATAGTTCTGCTCATTTAGATATAGTTGATATACAAAATAAAGAATACGAGGGCATCCAAAATATAGTTAACACATACAAACAAACACATAGATATGGCAAGAACACATGATAGTATTTCATTGTAATGTTCTAGTAGTGAAATTGTTTGTAGCCCATACAGAGAAATAGTACTAGCAGTTAACACCATATATTGTCTTCAACCAGCTAGTTTTACATCCACCTTTTGATACTAAATCATAGATAACTAGCAAACATATAGTCCATTTTCATCTACTGATTATGAAGGAAGACTCCCGTACTGATGGACAATACAAATTGTCTACTGGCTCCCAGCCCTCTCCAACACTAAAACTACAGAAGAACTGATTGTTGCCAACTGATCTCTTGTCTAGATAACTACTTGGTTGTTGCTCACCATGGTTGCCCCCTGGTGATGTTGTTCGAGGCAACTTGTTGTCCATCAAAGTCATAGTAGTTTGTGTTGTAAGAATTGCCAATGAAGGAAAGCACCTCCTAGCTAGGTGAAGTATTCTGCACCGTCATTGGAGCTACAGAAGGACTAGTTGTTGTCTGTTGACCTCTAGTCCAAGTGGCTACTTGGTTATTGCTCACCTGGTCAGCACATGCGAGGTTGTTCACGGCATCATGTTGTCCATCAAACTCAAAGTAGTTTGTGTTGTTAGCACCGCTAGGGAAGGCGAGCGCCTCCCATCCAAGAGAGTTACTCTGCACCATCGTTGGATCTATGGATGAACTGCCTATTATGTGCTGACCTCTAGTCCTGCTCGCCTCGTTAGCATACGCGAGTTTGTTCAAGACAGTGTGTTGTCCCTCAAAGTCATAATAATTTGTGTTATAAGCACTGTGGCCGAAGGCGAGAGCCTCCAAACTAGAAGAGTTCTTTTGCACCCATGGCTCTGTGTCATAGAGGCTGACATCATTGATGGTGAAGCGTTGTTTCCTAGTGGTGCACTCCTTCCTATGGAAATACTTCTGCGCATGGCTGCAGATCTGGATTGGCGTCCTTGTGGGGACAAAGTACCTAGATATGTTCTTCCAGCTACCACGACCATACACTTCTAGGCCACGGAGGAAATTCCTGCATATATATGGTTTAGAATTAACAAGTCAGTCTTGTTCGTAGACTCAATATTGGTGAAAACAAAATCTCAATGCCTCATGGTATGAAATACTATACACCACTAGCATATTACTTGTACAAAAAAATAACATTAAATATGTAACAAACATTAAAGAAAACAGAGCAGAAATGAATTACTTGTGCTCGTCATGACTCCAAGCTATCACTGGGTTTTGCCTCTTTTTCTTAGGAACAACATTCAGCTTGTGCGGTGGTTCCTCTACCATCTTCATGGCCTCCACATCATCCAGTATATAATCATGAAACATGTCCATGTTGTCCATGTTTGTATCCTCCATTGGCATCCCAAAGTTATCATTCACAAGAGCATTGCTCACCACAACTTGTTGGTTGTTGCTCTGCATTGTATTCATCTCAACTACTAGATGAACATATAATTGAACTACCTGATGCTTCTCTTTGACTGGGAACCTTGCTTGGAGCTCATCAACAATGTCATTGTGCTTCTTGTTTGTGTCATTTGTGTAGGTGTTGTGACTAGCAAGGAATGACCTCGCCATATCTATTTCAGAAGCGCTCCACACACCATTGAAGTTGGGATCCATGGGTAGTGAGGGTTGAATACTAAACAACAAGTTAGCGTATGAAACACGATGCTTGGATGGAGAAAATGGCAAGCACAAGGCCAAGTATTTATAGGCCTTATGGTGAATCTTTTAGTATTGGTTTCTATTTATTGTACAATAGTTTTATATATAGTCAAACAAGATTTTTTTAATAGTAATGCTATAGATATTTAGCATCTGTATTAATTTTTTAGTGATACACTAATTTTGTAGTTGACATACTTCAATTGCTCAGATCAATGACCAAGGACACATGACATGTAAAACTAATTCATAGTAACATAATGACTAGTTTCACTAAAGAAATCTGATTTGTCAATAAAAGGTCTTTCGGCGCAAATCAATATTGGGTGTGCAATTTAGGCTGGTTGATTAGCTGCTTATTTTTTTTGAAAAAAACCAACTTGATCTCGAGGCCATGCTTCAAAGAGTAACGCTTGTTCATAAGGAGACAATGTTTTCGCATCACACATTTTTCTCTCATGTTTGATAAAACGAATGCAACACCTAGGATGGGCATAGGCCATATCACGATTCTCGAGCACACAAGTTGGAAGGACACTAATGTCTCAATTTGCTACTATCAGTTGACTCTATCTTTAGTGGTTATGAAGCGTTGTGTCTCCAATTTTTAATCACATTACTTTATCTCTAACCAAATGCCTTATTAATGTGTTTCTAATAAATAAATGAATGTGAATTGATCAAATCATATATGCATTTCTTTCCTTGTGATTAACATTTATTAGTTTTGTTTCTATCTGATGTCCAAATATACTAGAACCTTGAGACTGGAAGTCAACTTTTGACTTTAGGTACAAGCCTCTTTCTCTCTCCCTCTGCCTCTCCCTCCATCTCCATCTATATATCTATATCTATATCTATATCTATATCTATATCTATATCTATATCTATATCTATATCTATATCTATATCTATATCTATATCTACCAGACAATGTATGCACATCACACTTTTTTCTCTCACGTTTAATAAAACGAATGCAACACCTAGGATGTTCAAAGGCCATACCACTATTCTCGAGCACATAGGATCGAAGGACACTAATGTCTCGAATTGCTACTATCAGTTGACTCCATCTTTAGTGGTTATAAAGCGTTGTGTCTGCAATTTTTAATCAAATTACTTTTTGTCTAACCAAATGCATATCTTTCCTTGTGATTGACATTTATTAGTTTTGTTTCTATCTAATGTCCAAATATACTAGAAGCTTGAGACTGGAAGTCAACTTTTGACTTTAGGTACAAGCCTCTTTCTCTCTCCCTCTCCCTCTATCTATATCTATATCTATATCTATATCTATATCTATATCTATATCTATATCTATATCTATATCTATATCTATATCTATATCTATATCTATATCTATATCTATATCTATATCTATATAGAAAGAAGGGTGCATGGGACATGGAAATACACATGATCAAATTCCTAATTTGACAATACCATGTTGAAGAGCTCGGCAAGATACATGAAATCAAGTTTTGGATCACCCAATTCGGAGTCCCGACAAGAAAGTTACGCCTTTTAGAAGATGGCAACACGGGTCAAGCTAGAAATGGGCACTAAGAGGGTCGAGCGACCCAACTATGGGTCGAGTGACCTAGGGATAATCCCAATGGTCCTCAAACTTGGTCTAGAGCCTCTCTACTCAACAAGAAGCCCAAGGAAAGCAGTGTCGTCCCAGAAGCTAGAATTGGACTTCAGCCAACCTAGCCCAAGGTCGGGCGAACCAACCATATATAGGCCCAACAAGAGTCTACTTCATCCACATGTAGAAGAAACACACTTAGGAGTCATCCTACATGTCGGTTGAATGATGGTTCACATCAAGGGATAGAATGAAGCTAAGTGGATATCACATGGATCCATGGGCCCGTCCAACTAAACCAAATGAATTCTAATTCGACCGATACTTAACCCACATTCATTAGGACCATAGATCTAGGCACTAACAAAAAATGGATGGTGGGTATGTGGAGGTGCCAGGTTTGTTGACCGAGCATTTTCACAAAACCACCTTGGTGACGGACCAAGATCCTAAGGGTTCCACATATGATCGACTACCCAACAAGTAGATGGACTAGCCCACGTTCTACTAGGAAGGCACGGAACAAGGTGGCGTGTCTCCCAAGGCAAGAAGGATCAACCTAGTCGGATTATAGGGAAGTCTATCTCTGTAATAGGATTAGAACTCTTCTGTTATAATCGACTAGGAATAGATTATGCGCATGCCCTCTGGACTATACAAAGAGAGGAAGGGGCACCCCCTTGTAACATCATCATGCACAATAATCCAACTCAAGGCAATACGCCGCACTGGACGTAGGGTATTACGCTATTTAGCGGCCTGAACCAGTATAAATTGATGTCTCGCGTTCATAGTCGAGTTTAGTTTATGCTGAAGCCCACCAATCCTAGTTATGGGTAACCCCGTAACAAGGTTGCTGATCATTAGACACCAATAGCTGGTGTGCTAGGTAGGAGCTTTCGGCAAAAAGACGATCGAAAGCTCGATAGATCTCCAGATCAACAACATGTTCTTGGCGGGATGAACGTTCACCTTTGATTCTTGGACCTTAACGACAGACGATTACAACATACTCCAAGGTCAGCTCATGGAGACTTCCATGGAACAAGCTCTTTTGGCTCCTCAACAAAACGTGCTAGAGGATCTCGTCGAGAAATTTGGTGAATTTTCAATTTTCAGTCCTACTTGGACGTGGAAACACCTCAAGCAGTTCGAGTCCTACTTGGACACAACCATATTTTTCTAGTCAGCTTCTAAGCCATCGGACAACTGCAGTCCAAGCCTAGCTTGACTCCCTCTTGGCCTTAGGAAGACCGCCTCTGTCTACTAGACGGTGGTCTCAAGACATATGTTATCCACCCCGATCACGGAGGAGGAACAAGAAGAGATCATGCTGATGGGTGCCCAACTCGGCCTAGTTCTCACCACCACGTCAAAAGGGAACATTGTGCACTGGCCAGGTGCTCGGTTAATCAGGAACTCTGCCAATGCCCGGGCCGCCCAAGCTGGCGCCGCACCATAGCCCTACCCTCCGCTGTCGGTCCAAGTCAACATTTGCATGTCACAAAGAAAAAGAGGGAGAAGGATTTCACTACCAGTCCTCTTGATGGCCACCATCGAACTGCTGCTTCCCTCCATTGATGGTTTGCACCAGGAGCGGACCTCCTCACCGGGATGCCATAGGCGGCAGGCGGCAGTGCGGTGGGCACCTCGGTGGCCAGGGGCAGGTGCTTGGGCGGTGGTGGCATGTACCCATGATTCTTGGGTGAGGTGTGGTGCCACGCTGGGGCGGCAGAGGGCGAGGCATAGGGGCGGTGCCATCGGCGAGGGTGGTGGGATGGTGAGGCTTGGGGGCGCAAGGCTACCGGTGCAGGGATGAGGCTGCGTTGGGAGGGAGGAGGGAATTAATGACACGAGGAGGAAGAAGACCCCAGGCCGATCCATTTTAAAGCGTGTTCCGTTCCTCTAGTCAAACCTACGGACGGCAGGCACAAGTAGAAAGTGGGTTAGATTTTGTCTAGGAATTAAATGACTTCCAAACTCTTCAAAATGCATTCCCGCGGCTTACATCTGTTTCATAATTGCGAAGTAGTGAATCCAGTTTGAGGAATGGCAATCTAGCGAATCTAGTTTTCCATAATGGCAGAATTGCAAAAATCTCTGATTTACATGATGTGGAAATGTCCTAAATGTTACCTATTTTTCTTATTTTTGGGTTAGCCCAACAAACAATGTACCCCATCATCCGAGGCCCAACAAGCAGACCAACTAGCCCAGCACTATCGCCCGCCCTAGCCTATTAGCGTTGTCCCTTGACGCCAGGTGCCGCACTCTATCACTCACTTTGCACCTGCTGCAACCCCTATCATTGTTGTCGTCCGTCGCTCCAGGCCCCTAGCACCTGCTCGCCGTCAGCCTCAAGCTCAAGAAAACGAGATCCACCACTGGCGCCTGCTTTGTGCTTGCCCACTGCCTTGATCCAGCCCCTACCGTCCTGCGCGGTGCTCTGCCAGACAGAAGTTTGTCGTTGCTTTGCCAGTAGCGGTGCCCGATTACACATTTTTGCATAGTGGATTCAGAGTTTCAAAGTTAATAGTGACCGGCAGACTTGATTCTCATCTTCATAGGTAGCGAAGGTTTCTCTGCCTAGTGACTATCGTCTACTAGTAGTCTAATACTCTCAAGCTCAAGTTAGCTGTGAATGATACGAGGGTCATGTCATGAAAAATGTTTATTTGCATGCGGTGATTGTCTAGTTGAGTCAAAACTAAAGAATAAAGGAGTTATGCAATATGTTGTTCTTTTTTCATCTAAATATTAAGACTCTGTATGATATTTTTTTTAACCGAGGGCATCCCCATTTCCATTACCAAGTTATAGAAATACAGAGTTATAGAAAGTTTTAGACAGCAAAAGAAACGCTAGAGGAAGCTAGAACAGGCAAAAGTAGAAACTTAGCTAAGTTGGAATCTACCGTAAACTACCTCCTTGGGATAACCAACTTGATCTCAAGGCCATGCTTCAGAGTAACTCTTGTTCGTAAGCGCACAATGTTTGCGCATCACACATTTTGCTCTCATGTTTAATAAATGTTGACGGTCTCTTCCGCAAGAATAAACATCAATATCACTTGCATTTATTCTTAAAATCAATCACCAAACATAGGTTAGAGGTTTAAACTAACAAATTTCACAAGTTTTGATGAATATTTGTATGCAGGTTGTTTTTATCTAGAAAAGAGACATGTGGGCCATGCTACGTCAGTAATACAAAATTATCCACGATGAAACCGACTCCTAGGACCTCTAATCCACCGTAAAAAACAAACCGCCAAAGATCAACGCGAGAGGATGACAGGTGGGGTTGGCCGACCAGTGGGCCTAGCCTGTCAGGCTCCCCTTTGACGTGGAGTCTCCACCACCTT